GTTTCCTAAAAGCAAACAACATCCCTCTCCCCCCCCACCCCGCCCCAACACCACAAAAAAGGTAAAATAAAATAAAACTCGAATCCACACGGCCCTGTTTTACTTTCCAATCCCAGTCTAACATCGGGGCCACTTCTCTTTCGTCTTTCTTTAAATGGACAGTTCGTTGTTTGGAAGTAACTTGGGCCCTGCTGTGCGATCACACCTCCACAGCCCTTTGCTGGCTCACCAACATTCGCATTCACTGCGGAATCACCAAGAGATTTGTTTTCTAGACAGCCTCTACCAGGGGAGTTCCCGAGGGGGCAAAGCTGAGAGCGCGAAGCGACCGAAAGGCAGTCGAGAAAGTGGGGCGTGTGTCGGAGTGTGTGGATTCTTGCCCTGCATGTGTGTGTGTGTGGGGGGGGTGGTGGTGGTAAAGGATCAGTTGTTCTCAAGACTTGACATACCAACCTTAGTCTCCCTCCCACCCAAGGGATGACCCTCCCAGGGAGGCCCAGCCTGATTCCCTTGTCTTCTCTTTCCAACCCACCCTTCCCCTCCCCTCCCTTCCCCGGGAACGCTGCGGTGCACAAGGGGTTAGCCCTGTGCGCGCAGAACTCGGAGCGGTACCCTGAGCTTTTTCTTCCCCCGCTGGACGGTACCGACTGCCCCCTGTTGGTTATCTTGAGGTAGGACGCCACCGAACTCCGTTCCTGGAGCCCGCCTGCTGCAACTCCTCTCTCCCCCCCACCTCTGCACCCCTCCATCCTTTCCGACCACTGGGCCCCACTCTCCCAGCATGGCACCTCTAAAGTCCCCAGAAGATTAATGCATTGCGCAGCCGCTGCAATAAGAAGGGGCTGTGGTCTAACCCAAGCAAAAGGGGCTTCAGGTTGAAGTGTTGGTACCTTTTCTGGGTGTAGGAGAGAATGTGGCCCTAGGAGGACTCCAGTGAGGTCTCAGCTGTCTCACCAGGTTTCTCTATGATCATTCACAAGTATTGTTTTCCCTCCCTCGGCCTCAGTTTCTTCGTCTATTCAAAAGTGGGGGTAAAACTGTCTCTAAAAATTGGAGGTTGGACTGATTTTTAATTTTCTTTCTCTCTTCACGGACTCTGCTCACCTCTGGGCAGAGTTGAGCCTGTTTGCAGAGAGATTAAGACAAACTGCATGAGAAAGGGTAAATGGTGGTGGTGGTGGTGGAGGAATGTATGTATGTTGGGGTCTGAAGAGGCCTGTGGAGGGGATGCATGTATGGCAGAAAATAGGAGAGCTGTGACAGACATTTCTTCTCTTGGAGCCTCCAGTCCCCTAACCTGCCATCGGTTCTAAAACCAGGGTGGTCAAAGGATGTTCACCTTCTTTGCACTGATTCCTGCTCCAGGAGCTACCTCTGCCTTCTTTCCCTGGCTATTCCCTACCCCCCCCCCCCCCCCACTGCGCTCCTGCACACAACACAGCCCTGTGAGAATACTTACCCCAGGCTGCGTGGGATGGCTGTAGTTCCCCTGCTCCTAGTCACAGGGTATGGGGAGCAAGGGCTCCTTCGTCTGATGCCCCCAAAGAGGACCCCTACTGGCCTTGGTCGGCCCATTCTTTCGCATCACATCTCTTCTCTCTTTTCTTCGCATTCTCCCTAGGCAGGATGTCCCAGGTTTGAGGTTGCAACAAAGTTTTTTCTCTGCAAGTTTTTTCATTTCTCTTCTTGCTTTTGGAAGAAAACAGAGTGAGGAAAACAGTTGCTTTTTTTTTTTCCCTCCCCCACCAAGAGCCGAGTTTCTTCTTGGAGTTTCCCATCTTCCTTTTCCTCACCGGGAGCCCGAGTCAAACTCACTTCTTCCGCCTAGTTGGCGTCCCTCATCACTTCCACTCCCAGACTTGGGCCCTAGATGTACAATCTAATAGAAAGGGATGCCCAGACCGACTGAGATGGGCCCAGTGGAGGAGGTTCGGACACCGTGCCCAGTCTTTTCGTCATTTCTTTTGAGCAGCCACCGCCTGTGGCTGCTCTAGGGTGCTGGGCGCCTTTGCGCGCGCGTTCTGAAGCTCCCTGGCTGGAGTCCTGGAACATCCTCTGATCAGTTTTCCTCATCAAATCTTCCTTTCCCTTACCCCTCAACATCCCCCACAGTTGACACCTTTGATCTAACGCGGAGACTTTGGGGGAGAGACTCAACGCGGGAGCCACGACATAGATAGAGCTACTCTGGATTGGAAAGGAACGCCCTCCCTTCACCTTACCCCACCCTTGCGCTGAACCTGGCAAATGCCCCCAACCCTCCTCTCGGTGCACAGGAGGAACAGCTTCCCAGGGTCCTTACAGTGTCGGCTTCCCTGGGCCTCTGTTGGAAAACATTTAGCTCATTCTTCTGACCAGAACTTTTGTTTATCCCTGGTGTGACAGTCTCCTGAGAAGTCTCATTTCGTACTGTCTTTTCGGATCAGATCTTTTGGTAAACAGATGGGGATGTTTTACCCTACAGAGTGGATGTATTTATTAGTGAGTTCGCTGTGGGTTCCTCGAGTCTTTCAAACTTGTGGGGCCTTTTCTGGGTTGCGATGCAATTGGAGCGGGAAGAAGGCCAAGGTGTTTCCGGGCAAGAGCGCGGGGTTAAGTGGAGGCGCTACTCGCTGGGGCTCTCCTGTTGGATCCCGGTTGGGACACCCCAGCCTACCCTACCCTGGAGCTAGAGAGACCCGAGTCTGGAGACCGGATGGCTCCACTCCTAGCTGGCCCCGGTTCTGGGAACTGGTGGACTCGTCCCGGGGCGTCGGGCCACAAGTAGGTTCGGTTTGTGGGGTTTCGGCTCTAACAAAGAGATCCGCTGTAATCCGCCGAATCTGTTATCAATTTCTCCTCTGCCGGTGCCCCGCCCCACGCGCCCCGCCCGTAGCGAAGCTCCAAAAGTGCGCGGAGCCAGCAGAGATCTGGGTCACCGACTCAAAAGCACGTCGGAATCTGTGTGTCTGTGCACGAGTGTGAGTGTGTAAATGTGCGTGAGGGTGAACGTGTTACGCGTGTGTGCGCGCGCGCGCGGCTTTGGCCGCGGTGGAGCAAAGTAGACTTTGCAGCGTGGGCCGCGCGGGAAAGCAGACCTTGTAGCTCACCCCCTCCCCTGGAGGAAACTTGACACTTCAGTCGGGGGTGGGGAGGGAGCCTGAGCATTCTATCTCCCAGGCTGGGGAAACCCCAGATTTCCATTCTCCAGGATGCGCCCCCAGCTTTGCGGTGCTTTGGGGGAGGACTGGGCCACCGGCGCGGAGCCCTGGTTAGCTGGCGCTGGAGAATGCATAAGCATTTCCTCTCCGAGAAGCCCGGAGGTGTCTGGACCCAAAGGACTGGCTCTCCGGGAAAAGTCGCGGCACGCTCCAGAGCCCCTTAGCATTTTCAGCGCTGCCTGGGTCCCCTCCATCCCTTTTACCATGGTTTCCAGGCAGGACCCTTCCGCCGCTTGGAGGAGGCTCACCTTTCTTTCCTTTCCCGAAGAAGGGGCTCCCTCTGAGGCTGCGGGCGGCACAGCGCGACAGAATTACGCTTATCAGAAATGTAAAATGGGATTTTGGGAACCCGCTCCTCCCACCCGCACTCGCCTAGCTCCGCCGCCGCCTACAGGTGGGGAAGTCACCAGTGGGCAGGAATGTCAGGGGAAGCTTGCAAGGCCAACTCCTGCCATTGAAATTCTTCACGAAAGTAACCTTCGCCGCCCGAGGCCCTGAGACCTGGACTCTGGGGCACAGCTGCGGCTTGGGAGCCGGGGCATCTCTGGCCCTGCCAGGAACTCAACTCGTCCTGTCCTCTCCCCACTTCCCTGCCTTTCGGAATTGACTTAACTGTATCTAAGTGGGGCTGGAGAGGCTAGACTGGAGGCGGGGTGGCAGCGTTCCAAGGCCAGGCTCTTGGTGTCGCGATCGCGAAGTGGCCGACAACCCCAGACCGGGAAGGACCAAGAGAAACTGGAGTCCCTCTGGGCTTCCTGTCCCCTCTCTCCACAGCAGCTGCCGGGCATGGGGGCAGGAGGAGACAATGAAAAAAAAAATCAATTTGGGGGGAGGTTGTGAGAAGGGCAGGGAAAGTGTTCTCTCCCAGAAGGATTGGACCCAGAACCTCTTCTTTCCTCAGGAGTTCCATTCCTTCTCTGAATCTGAGGAGGAGGCCGCAGGCAGGGGTGGTGGTGGGGGGGCACCATTTTCCGGTTTCTTTGGTTGGGAGAGCAGACCTCTCTCCCTGTTCTCCCTAGGCCCCCTCATCTCCTTCTCCCCTCCCCAATCAGGCTGAAGAGCGTCCTAAAGGAAACCCGGGGCTGCTCTTCCCCATCTGGAAGTGGCTTTCCCCAAATCGGCCCGTAAACTGATTATGAAACATACGAAGTTAATTCTGAGCTGCATTTCCCAGCTGGGCACTCTCGAGCGCGTTGGTCCCCGGGGCCTCGCCCCCCACCCCCTGCCCTTCCCTCCCGCGTCCTGCCCCCACCCCCCACCCCCACGCTGGCCACCCCGCCTCCTCCGCAGCCGCCTGCGGCGCGCTCCACTCGCCTTCGCGCTCCTCTCGCCCGCCCATGGAATTAATTCTGGCTCCACTTGTTGCTCGGCCCAGGTCGGGGAGAGGACGAGGGTGGCGGCGGGTTCCCGAGTGAATTCCCGAGGAGGGACCAAACTCAGCGCGAACTAGAGGGGAGCGAGGGGGTGCGGGACTCGAGCAAGCAGGAAGGAGGCAGCGCCTGGCACCGGGGCTTTGACTCAACAGCATTGAGACATGTTTGTAATCGCTGGCGTGCCCCGCGTGCAGGATCCTAGCGAAATCAGATTTCCTGGTGAGGTTGCGTGGGTGGATTAATTTGGAAAAAGAAACTGCCTATATCTTGCCATCAAAAAAAAAAAAAAAAAAAAAAACTCACGGAGGAGAAGAAGCGCAGTCAATCAACAGTAAACTTAAGAGACCCCGGATGCTTCCGTTGTTTAAACTTGTATGCTTGAAAATTATCTGAGAGGCAATAAACATCTGCTCCTTTCTTTCCTCTCCAGAGTGGAATAATAAGCCCAGGAGTGGCTTTGAGGACGGCTGGAAGTGCAATGTCTTCCAAGTTCTTCCTAATGGCTCTGGCCATATTTTTCTCCTTCGCCCAGGTTGTAATAGAAGCCAATTCTTGGTGGTAAGTTCATTTCTATGTGTATATTCCTCTTTTTTTTTTTAAATTGGAAATTCTTTTGTAAGATGCTGCAACATTTAAAGCTAGGTAGTGAATGTAGGTTCATTTATCCAATCCATGTATGTATAATCTATTTTACTTATACATATTTTTAAATTAGTATTTTCTTTTAACTTGTTAATATATTGTAAAGCTTTATCTTCAGTTCTTTAGGAAATCAGAACCTGTAAATCTAGGCCTTTTTTTCTGTAAGGCCCTTGTTCAGATCTGCGCTTGTAGAACATCATGTAATAAAAGGGAACAGAAATTCACTTCTCTAATAATTGTAAGCCTATCTATAAAATTTATTTTTTTGCCATCTCTTGGTAGTACAAATGAGTCTCAACTTTTATTTTTTTGTCACTTGAGGTTATTAACCTACAGAGTAGCAGAGTGGTAGGGAGACAGTTCTACACCAAGTGGAGAAGTGTTTGGGCTTGAAATTTGATCAAAAGGAGGTGAACTTGAAGTAGTCAAATGTCCGTAGTGGGGGTTTCTTTCTTCTTTCTGGAAGGGCCTTGTAGACTGCAATATATCCAGAGGATTATTTTTGACGGGACTCTGGATATTTTTTCCCCTGTAAATGAATAGCATTTTTCTGTCTGTCAAACATAACTTCTGTTCACTGGATACCCTGTGCTGAGTCCTTCACAATCACATAAGGAACTCTTTTAAAGTATCCAGAAACGTGGTGAATTTTCTTCAGTGCGTATACTTGTCCCTCTGTTCTTCCATCAGTCGAAAAGAACTGCTATCTCCTAGCCATGTCTAATTGTGTCTACTTTCAGCATTCATATGTTTTCAAGGCAGGCAAATCCAATTTGTGGGGCAAAGTGAGTCACTTTTCTCTAATGTCAAAGGCAGTCCCCCCGAAACTGTCATTTCTCCCTTTTCTGGGTAGATTTTGGAAATATGGGTTCAGGTATATGGCAAATGAGGGCAAGAAAGGGAGTGAAAGCGCTAACTACAGAGCCAGCTGGCAGGATGGGGACTGCACAATACCTCCGTTTTCTGAGCGGAGTTTAAACAGAAGAGTTTTATGAAGCCCTCCTCATACTTTGTCATGAGGACAAGCAGGAGAGAAAAAGCATCTGTGTGCTTAAAACTATGTATTGCTGACATGCTTTCAGGGGGCCCACCTCCAGAGTTCACGTAAATCTTGAATGCACATCTCCCCCCCTTTGCAGGTCGCTAGGTATGAATAACCCTGTTCAGATGTCAGAAGTATATATCATAGGAGCACAGCCTCTCTGCAGCCAGCTGGCAGGACTTTCTCAAGGACAGAAGAAACTCTGCCACTTGTATCAGGACCACATGCAATACATTGGAGAAGGCGCGAAGACAGGCATCAAAGAATGCCAGTATCAGTTCAGACATCGAAGATGGAACTGCAGCACTGTGGATAACACCTCTGTCTTTGGCAGGGTTATGCAGATAGGTAGGAAACCACTTAAAATATATGTGAACTGTTTTTTTTTTTTTTCCTAGAAAAAGTCTTCCATGTTTGCTCCTGGGCTGGATGAGGAGGGCATCTTCCAGCTTGGATGATGGCCTGGGGATTTTTGTCATTACAGTGGTCCCACATCTGATCCTAAGTTTCTAACTTCTTTAACCAGATCACAAGGGGAGCATAAGGGACACCTCCATTTTCCTGAACACCTACTTTTTATAAAATGCATTTTGTTGAAAGTAGAAGCAGAAAACTTCTTCTAGTTTCTCAGAAGTAAATGGTGGTGGGGAGGGGGGAGTCAAGTCATTTAGAACCTTCTAAATGTAAAAACTCTTTTGTTAGAAGTTTCTTAAGCCACAATTCAAAGGACTAGACATCAAACTAAAAACTGTCATCTTTCAGAATGCTGGATAAGTTGCAAGTGAACAAGGTTTTAATTTTCTTAAAATAGATATGTCCTGAGACCACGATGATATATATGTTAAAAACTTTTTTTTTTTTTTTTGGTTCTAGAAAGAATTTTAATTAGAAATGATGCAATTTGCATGGAAGATTTTGACAATTGACAGAAAAGCACATCTTTGGGCTCTCAACCTAGGAACTTAAAAAAATAAGTTTTAAGTATATTGCTTACAGTTTGGGTTTTTATTTTAAATACGTTGTTGAACTTGTTATTCCATTCAGGGAGGAGATAGCATTTAAAATGAACTCAAGGCAAAAAAAATTGAAAAATCAGTTTGCCTGTGGTTTGGTTTAATAGTCTAGGATCCTACTTGACAGATGTGGTCCTATGTGTGTTTCCTAGCGTGAATATTTTAGGTCTCTTTACTTTTATGCAAACAAGACCTTATAATTAATATGACTGCAGTGACTGAAAATAAGAAGCTATTTATCAAAGCAATTAACTGTTTATACAGACTGAAGATAAAAGTTAGCTTAATATCCATCACGGATGGATAAAATGCTTAAAAAAAAACCAAAAAACAAAAAAACCAAACGCTGAAAAGTGCATTCATTGAGAACAAAAAAGAGTTGTCAGTAGATGTTTGAGCCAAGGGGCTTCATAAACTAAAATAATACGAAATTGGAAGCCATTCCTCTTACTGAATGGGAAAATGGCTTGGAGCCCCAGCTTGCAAGCTTCATAGGCCTTTGTTCTTTCAGTTAATGATTGAAATGTGCTAATGTATACACCGGGGTTGGATGGAGGGACTGAGCTTCAGGAACATAGGAGTGGTCCTTGCATATAGATTCATCTGGTGGAGTTAACTTAGGATGTGCTGGAGACTTAATTCCATATTCTGATACTGTGTGAGAGCAACAGACTCTTAAAACTCTTTTCAAATAAGTTTTCAGTCCCCCCCCCCCACCTCCTTTTATGTTTCTCCTCAGCTGCTGGCCTCTTAAATGATGGGACCATTTTTTGTCCACATGGATATGAGTTAGCAAAAAAATCATACACCTCTGATGGGAACTAGAAGAAAAATCGCAGTTGGAACTGTTTTTCTGTGTAGTCACTTGAACACAGCTTTGATTTAATGTCCTCTTCTCATCTTCGTACATGGCCTGTTTGGGGCCAAAATGCTCAGAATAAGCTATCATTTGCTAAGTGAATTTAAGTTCTGCTGGAGATTTATTTTAAATGTGATCCAAGATTCAAAGAGGCTATTTCCTCAGGGAATAAGCAGAACACTTGGGACAAAGGCCTACATTTAATTGTCCCTCGCAAGAACACTCTCTGGTCCTCCCTCAGCTGTGTCGCTGGGATGTGAGTGGGTGGGGAACCTCCAGACAGCCTTGAAGGGGCCCTCCTAGATGTTGTGGGCAAGTCAGCTGATGTCCCTGGAAGATGAGAGCACATGCCGCATCCTTCCTGGCCAAAGTCCCACAGTGCCTGGTATCTCAGAACAGAAGGCTGCTGCTGGGTGGCTTGTGGTGGGACATGGATGGGGCCTTCTCTTTCATGCTTATTAGAATGAAGAGATAGAGAAAAGTAAAAAAATAGAGTCAGTTTTTATGAAATAGGAACATGGACCCAAATCCAGGAGGGGGAAGTTTCTTTGCTTTTACTTCTCCACTTCAGGAGAAGTTTGAAGGGAATCAGCTCAGAGAAAATTTAAAAGACCTTTGATGCCCAACGGGTGTGGATGCACCCGTCCCCAAAGCACTTAGTAACCCAGGGACAGTGAGAGTTAATTCTTGTCTCAGCCAATCTGACTGTGTGAAGGGCCAGTGTCTGAGAGGCTCAGCTGCCACCTCTGACCCGCTACTCAACTCATTTTTCTAAGGTGCCAGTTGGCTTGGAGGCACCGTGCACAATTGCCTCATGAAGGGCCCGCTCTTCGTTTTGGAAACTCTCATTTTTCATCATGCTAACCCTTCCCATCCAGCTTTTGTCCCCGTCTTGTCTTTGTTTCCACACTGTGAAAAGATATGTCAGGAGGGCGCCATTTTTAAGGGGTGTGAGGATCCAAGCAGATGTAGATTTCACACAGAGGGAAACCTCACTGAATTAGCAGTATTCCAACCGGGGGACGACTGTATCCACAGGCCATTAGCCAAAGAGCACTTTTCAAACTGACATTTTTTGCTGCAGTGACCAATCAGCTTAGAGATGTCTACCAGGTTTGCATTCTAGGGCAAAAAAAGGAAGACGGACAAAAAAAGAAAAAAAAAAGCACTATTTGTATTTTCAAGATAGACTTAATGAAAAAAGCAACATTTGTGTTTTGTGTAAAAGCCCCTTTATACTCTGTGTACTCAAAGGGCAGTGTCTTATTTCTCTCCGTCCTCAGAGGATCACTTTATCTTCTCTTCCTTTAGCCACAGTTTCTTTATTCTACAAGTCTCCTGTCCATGGCCATGACATTTTCTGTATTATCAGCGTTAATCCTCAAATAACTCCCTGGTATCTGTCTGCTCTCCTCATTTGTTTCCACTCCCTCCATGTTCTCTGCCTCTCTAATCTGAGCTAGATAGATTACATGCAGGAACTTTCTGGATCCTCCTGCCAACCACTAGCACTCCTCGAGTTATTCATTTTTAAAACGTGGGAGGGGGAAGGTCTGTGGTGAATCAGAGCCACCACCATTCCTGGAAGGGGATATCACAAATGGCCACAACTCAAGTGTGGAGCAGGGATGTCCCAGGAGAGGGCCGTCTGCCGGATGCTTGAGTTGGCATGGCCATCCTCCTACAGAATGGTCTGCTGGATACATAGTTGGCATAGCCATCCTCCTGCATGGGGCTAGGTCCTGTTGTCACCTGTCCTGCTGCTGATTTCTCATTCCTTCAAAAAAGGTGGTTAGCAAGCTCTCAAAGTAAGTGCAGGAGAAACTGATTCTGATACAGGGATTTCCATGCCAGAAGGGGCCTTTTCCCCCTGAGCATCTCGTTCAATACCCTTATTTTACAGTTGAGGAAAGTGAGGCCCTTCATCCTAAGCCCCGGTCCCAGCTTCAGCTGACTGAGTTGAAGGCTTTCTCTCTAATCGGACACCTTTTTTATCAAGTGGCTTCTTGTTACACATAGAAGTGTCTCCATATGCAAATGGAATTTGAGGTGGCTTACGATAGCCTCCATTTTTTATTACAAATAGAGTTCCTATAACTTTTATGAGGAAATATATATATATTTTTTAAACTGGAAGGAGAATAACTCCCCCCCCTTCCCCCTAGGCTGTGTGTGCATGTGACACTCTGAGGCAGAGGCAGGAAGATGGCTGTCGTAGTGGCAGTAGGGAACAGCAGTGTTTTAAAAGAATATGAGTAGACACTTGTACTCTTGAGTGAGAAGTACCAGGCCAATCAGTTTGGGATTTAAAATGCAAGTTTTCATTTATCACTCTTTATGAACAGGTTTAGAACTGTCCCCTGGGCAATTAAAGAGCCTTGTCCAGAGTCAGACTTTGTGCTGCATGATGGGACGGAAGGAGAGGTTACAAGTGGCAAAGGAGGACGTGCCAGGCAAAAACCAGTATGGCCACAACTTGTGTGGCCACAGGAATAATCTGTCTTGGATGGGGTTGGGGGCGTCTAAGACATGTAGAGGCTCCAAGTCTAGCAAATTCTGTGCTCCTGTGCGAAATGAAAATAATACCAAACATTAGAATAAGGGTAACAAGTCTACCCCAATTCCAAGCTTTCCTTCAATGACTTCTTTCATGGACACTTTGGGAAATAAGAAGTTTGAATATCTTCAAAACAGCCGTAGAGAAAATCAATCCAGCACTGCTGCCTTAGGTTCTGAAATGTCAGAGAGAAGATACCAAAGATCTCCTCTCCTTTGTTACTTGTTGCTTCTCTCTGTGTTGAGGCTCTTTCTTAGCTCCCCCTTGAGGTGGGCCCAGAGCCTGAGTGTCAGTTAGGGATAGGGCCTGTGTAAGCAGCCAGGCTGAGGTTTATCTCCGCAGGACTTGCAGTGTGTTGGGGGCTTTGCCTGGCCCTGTCCCCTAGGGTAGTCCAGGGTGGGCATGTGCTGGGGTTTCTTCTGCCCTGCTCAGTGGACCAGGGCTGGTCTGTTAGGGGCTCACCCTGCCCCTCAGCAGGGACTACACACCTGGGTGTGGGGTGTGGGGGGGTGGATTCTCCTTGTTCCCCTGACCCCAGCCTCCCAGCTGATGTGCTGGGGCTCACCCTGCTCCCCACCCCAGCTAGCATGTGTTGGGCCTCCCTCTGCCCTCTCCAGGAGACCCAGCGGGGGTTTTCTCCGCACCCCCAGCGGGTCACAGGCCTACTGGGTGGGCAGGCAACCTGGTGACTCCACGTCCTCGCCTGCAGGCAGCCGCGAGACGGCCTTCACGTACGCGGTGAGCGCCGCGGGGGTGGTGAACGCCATGAGCCGGGCGTGTCGCGAGGGCGAGCTGTCCACCTGCGGCTGCAGTCGCGCAGCGCGCCCCAAGGACCTGCCGCGAGACTGGCTGTGGGGCGGCTGCGGTGACAACATCGACTATGGCTACCGCTTCGCCAAGGAGTTCGTGGACGCGCGCGAGCGGGAGCGCATCCACGCCAAGGGCTCCTACGAGAGCGCGCGCATCCTCATGAACCTGCACAACAACGAGGCGGGCCGAAGGGTGAGTCTGCCCGCGCGTCCTGCCCCGCCACCAGGCCTGCTGTCCCCAGCCACAGTGTCTTCCGGTGCCTCTACCGCCTCCTGGCTGTTTCTGGCTCCGCATCTCTTTCTCTTTCCCGGTCTCATTCATCTTTCCTTGTGTCTCTCCGCCTCTCTCCTGTCCTCCTGTCACCACCCATCTCTTCCCTTCACGTCATCCGTCTCTGGAGAGGGGTGCACACCCCTGAGAGGGATCTTAGGGGTGAATCATCCCACCTGCCCATCCCAGCCAGCTGCTGGACGAGCTAGATCTCCCCTTCCTTGTTAGCCAGTCCCCGGAGCAATTTTAAAAATAAAAATGTTAATAATTTTCTCCCTCCTCCTTGGATCATGTTTGTGGTTGGGTTGCAATTTGGAGAGAGAATTTGTGTTTATCCTCAGTAGATGCCCCACTGAGAAAGCCCTCACCCCAGCTCTGAGGCCTTCTCTTTCTTTTCCTTTCCTTCTCCCTGCCCTCCTTATGTCATTAGATAGCAAGCCCGATGGGTTGAGGGTTTTTAAAAAGGGCTTTTCTAGGAAAAACGACAGCATTTTTAGCAGCATGGAATTTTATAGGGCTGACCATCGGGCCAATCACAGGGTGGCTGTGGAGAGGAGGGGAGCAGCAGCAGTGCCCAGTGAGACTGGTCTTGCAGCCCTCTTGAATCCCCTGGACCCCACTCTCTCCTTCTCCTGGTGGGGATATGAAAAGCTACTCCACAATAGTTAAAAAGACCCTTTTTTTCCTGCGGTTAAACACATGGCACTTTATGGCTGCTTTAAAATGAAGGGGTGAAAACTTTTCTTAACTTTGGCAGCAGTGAAAACCAGGGCCATTATTTTTTTTTTTTTTTCACAGAACCCAAGGTAGGTGCCAGGAACTTTCTGGTCAGAGATTTCACTCTTCTGTATTTTGGGGTGAGGAAAAAGAGAGATAATCACAGAGTAGATCATACAGGACTGGAAGGAGCCTTAGAACCCTCTGGCCCACACCCTCATTTCAAAGATCGGGAAACTGAGGCCAAGAGAACCACTTCAGGACCGTGGAAGAAAATTAACGGATCGAAATCTAAGTCTAGGTTCATTTGTATTAAACTCTTGCATCACAGGTTAGGGGTGAAGGGCCAGAGCTTTTGGAATTAGAGAACTGTAGGTTTCATTCCAGTTCAGTCTGTTCCTTTTGGTTTCTGAGCCTCCATTCCCTTACCTCCACATCTGTCAATGGCCATGACAGTGACTCTCACTTGGGGTTGTTGTAAGGACTAAACAAGATCATGTGGTAGGTTGAACCATGTGACATTGGCAATCCGTGGCCATTTTTGACTGACAAAATGATAATTTCTTTTGATTCAATCTAAGGTTTTAGTTTTAGTGTCAGCCAGTAGTAAGTGCTTGATAAATGATCACTTAATTATTAAATGTTATGGAGTAAAGGATGTGGAGAAGTCAAAGATTGTGTAGATAAATCCAGCTAACTTATCTTCTTCTCAAATATTAAACATTTGGGGGTGTCAGGAAAAGATAAAATTCTGCCAATTTTTGCCTGTGGTTGCCTTCAGGACTCAAATAATCACTCCAGTTGAAATGTAGTCTCCTCCCTGGCCTCCTTTGCCATAGAGCCTGAACTATTCATTGACATGGTTGGGTTCAGCCCTGTTCTTTCTGAAAGCCCATGACCTGGCACCTATCCTTATCAGGGACACCTCACTCTACTCTGTGTCTCTGACCAGAAGCACCTCCAGGAGAGAGGTGTGGCTGACTGTGCACCCATATTCCATGCTCTCAGCCATCTTTAGAACATTCTTAAAATTCCCCCCACCCCACCCCCTGCCCTGGAGAAATCATCAGGGGCTTGACAACCAAGGAGAGAGGGTTGGGGGATTTATAGATGACAAGAGGGGACTTTAGGAGATTTTGAAAGGTACCTTTCATATTTTAATTTCACTCAATATCCACATTTTTAATAGTGGGTTTTATTGGGGGCATATTCTATCATTGGGGCAGTAAGCTGAGTTTAGATCCTGGTGGGTGAGGTTACATAGAAGACAGCTTTTCTCCAGGATGGTGGGGGTAAGGGTGGGAAGTTGGGCACTATGCCAGGAAGTCATATTAGAATTTCCTCAGGGCATTAGCTTTTTATTTTCCTCAAAGGGGAGCAAAGGTTAAATATGTTTGCAAAACCTTCCTCTGACTAGCTGAGTGCCTGAAAGTCTTTATGCCGAGAGTACACTTTGGCCCCTTTTAAAAGAAAGCCCCTTATGAATCCCTGGGGGAGGAAGGTAGCTGTCGGGTAGAAGCGGCCTCCAGGTTCCTGACTGGCCCTCACCAGCAAACCCACGCCATGTAGATTTTGCAAGGTCGCTGGCACAAGGAACTGTGGGCAGTAGGGACTATAAATAGGCAACCACCACCTCCCAGACTGCTGGGCACAGTGCTGTGGGGCCAGACCCATGGGCACTGCTACTGGGAGGCCAGAGATGACTGGGCAAGGGCCCAGACGCCATGCCCCCATCACCCTGGAGCAAGACCAGATGTACTCTGTCTGGCGTGCCGAACACTTTCTGTGCCTTCCCTCATTTTATCCTTTTAACAGTGTTGAGAGATTGGTACCTCACAGTCTCCTAGATGGAGGGAAAATGATGCTTAGCAAGGTGCAGCCAGTTGCCTAAGTTCAAGGGCAGAGTCAGGAACAGAATCCGTGTCTACCTGGCTCCAGGGTGGGTGCTTTTGGCCTGTGGGGTAGTGGGCAGGTTAGAGACTATGCTGAAAGCAAGAATGGAGACACCTGAAATCTAGGCCCAGTCTCCCCACATTCTGTCTATATGGCCTGTGCAGGTCACGTACTGTCTCCGTATCACTCTGTTGTCATCTAACCCAGATCGAATGAGATCAAGAGTACAAGGGCTCCTGTGGCAGTGCCTGGCACACAGTAGTGATAGTAGGATTGTATAAAGGTTCAAACCCCAATCCCAGTGGGGATGGACTCCTTCTAAATTTAAGACCCCCCAACTGGGTGACCATGGGCAAGTCCCTTAACATGAGCTCAGAGTCCAAATTCCTGGGTTCAAATCCTACTCCTCCACTTCCAAGTGGCTGGAGGAACTCATCTCTCTGGTTCTCACTTTCCTTCTCTGAAATGGGGTGATAAGAGCATGTGCCCTGTGGGATGGCAGTCGGGATTCATTCAGGGAATGCAGACAAGGGATTGTGAAATCACTGAGATGCATGTTCACATGTACTGGGTTTCCCTAAAAAAGAAGCAAATGGAATTATCCACCCCCGTTCCCATTCAAAAACTTTGCCATCATTAAAAACTTCATTAAAAACTTTGTTTTTAAAGAAGGCAACACAAGCCTTCTGGTAGTGGAGAAAGAAGAAGTAACACAGCCCCTAATTGAAACCAGCTCCACTAGAAGGTGAAGAGCTTTGTTAATACAACCCACACCCACGTCTTGGGGTCCTCCATGAATTCGCACACTAACTCCCATCCCTGTTGCTCCTAGACGGTGTACAACTTGGCCGATGTGGCCTGTAAGTGCCACGGAGTGTCTGGCTCATGTAGCCTCAAGACGTGCTGGCTGCAATTGGCGGACTTCCGCAAGGTGGGTGACGCCCTGAAGGAGAAGTATGACAGCGCCGCGGCCATGCGGCTCAACAGCAGAGGCAAGTTGGTTCAGGTCAACAGCCGCTTCAATTCACCCACCACGCAGGACCTGGTCTACATCGACCCCAGCCCCGACTACTGCGTGCGCAACGAGAGCACTGGCTCCCTGGGCACGCAGGGCCGTCTCTGCAACAAGACATCGGAGGGAATGGACGGCTGCGAGCTCATGTGCTGTGGCCGTGGCTACGACCAGTTCAAGACCGTGCAGACTGAGCGCTGCCACTGCAAGTTCCACTGGTGCTGCTACGTCAAGTGCAAGAAGTGCACGGAGATCGTGGACCAGTTTGTGTGCAAATAGTGGGCGCCTGCCCGTCACCCAGCCCCACTCCCAGGACCCACTTATTTATAGAAAGTACAGTGATTCTGTTTTTTTTTTTTTTTTTTCTTTTCTTTTTTAAAAAATATTTTTTATTTTTTCCCCAAGAATTGCAAGCAGAACCATATTTTTTTTCTGTTACCATCTAAGAACTCTGTGGTTTATTATTAATATTATAATTATTATTTGGCAATAGTGGGGGGTGGGAACCAAGAAAAAAATATTTATTTTGTGGATCTTTGAAAAGGTAATACAAGACTTTGCTAATATAGAATGAGGGGATTACAACACACACCCAACTTAGCTGCTTAGGTAGTGTGCATCCAGAAAGTAAATACATTTTTTTCTTCTCAACTCTGGAGTCATATGGGATGGGTTAGGATCAGTTGGAAGAGGATGGTGCAGGTCTGCTTGAGATTCTGCCTCTGTGACCAAAATGAGTTGTAAATGCTCTGGTGCAAAATAAAAGGTCTTGTAACAAAAAAAGAGAGAAAATGAGATACTGCCCCCTCCTGCCACTTCCCAGGGGCTGCCAGCCTGCTTTTATATTTCCAAAATGATCATGTTAAATATAAGAGCAAGAATCTTGATCTTCAAAGAAAAAAAGGTATATCATATATCTCATTCTTCTCACATATTCCATGTACAGATGGTCTTATTCTAATAGCTGGTGCAACTTGGGTAGCAGAGAGGAAAGTCCCCAGAAATTAAAAAAAAATTGCAATGGAGGCCATGATTGGAAGGTGTTCTCCCCAAATGATTCTGTCTATTATTTGATCCAAATGATTTTGCATAATATTTTGTTTGGGGAAGGAGCATTAGCTTGACTATAAGGAAAAAAAAATCTTGTGATTTTCTTAGGGATACTTGGTTCATAAAGGCTAGTAATGAAAATAATGCATGAATTCCATCCACAGATCCTCAGGCCAAACAGCAAGCTGATTGCATAGAGTTCCACACTGCACCAGAACAGAAAACCTATTTGAGGGGGGAAAAAAAAAAGTGAAATCCACCTTCCACTTGACCCCAAGCCCTTTCTGGTCTCTCTCTGTGCCGTGATGTGATGCTGGCCACGCTTCCAAACGGCAGCTCCGCTGGGTCCCCTTTGATTATAGGACAGGAAATGAAATATGAGGAGTTCCACTTGGAAAACAGTGCGCTACTTAGGGATTTTTTTTTTTCTAAAACTTTTATTTTGAAGTGCAGTAACTTCGTATGTTTCAATGACATTACTCGGCTAACAGAGTCCACAGAGATGTCCCAGTGATTTGCTGTTATAATCCTGTGTTGAGACTATCCACCCGTGCTTTTCCTATTTTACTGCAGGTGTACCCCAAAACTGTTCCTAATATACTTGAACAGTTGCATTTATAAGGGGGGGGATGTGGTTTAATGGTGCCTGATATCTCAAGTCTTTTGTACATAACATATATATATATATATATACATATATAAATATAAATATAATTATATCTTGGTGCAGCCAGTGATCTAGATTTACTGTTTACTCGGGGCTTATTTTTCTGTCTGGAGCATTGTCGTCCTTCACTGCAATTTATCCAGTTGGGATTTTTCCAAAAGTTTTTTTTTTTTTTTTGAGTCTTGAGCTTGGCCTGTGGCCCTTGCCGAGCACCAGGAAGCAAGCTGGTTTCTGAGGAAGCTTGACAGTCTGACTGGCTGAAGTGCATGTTGATTTGGAGATTGTTTTCCTCTTTCCTGTCCAACTTCTTTTCTCCTGCCTCCTTTTCTTTGTAGACTGTGTGGAGAGGGCATTATTTGTTCAGTGCAGGTATGGATGGTAAGAGGTACAGCCCAGAAACATTGTCATCCTTTCTCACTGTGTTTAGCTCATTCTGCAGAGTGGAAACTGGTACCTGTCAGACTTGATGGCACTTATTTGAATCCCTAAGGAAAACCCAGTCCACTATATAGATAGCTAGTTTTTTTTTTTTTTTAAACCAGGACACCTCTTTTCCCAAAGTGCCATCAAGTGTGTCCCTATCTCAGACTCACATGGTTTTCAAGGTTTGGGACGATGCACATCGCCCATACCCTTTGTAGGCTTGGTGGCCTGCACATCACCTCAGCCAGCTATGGCTCTTAATTTATTGCACAAGGATGTTCACTTCCCCTTAGTTGCAGTGAATTGAAAGAAAAGATCTTGAAATTAAAAAAAGCACTAATGAGTTTAAAATGTCACTTTTTTGGTTTTTATTCTTCAAAAACCACGAAGTACTTTTTTTTTTATTTGCTAAATCAGATTGTGTTCCTTTTTAGTGATTCACGTTTATGAACAGAGTTGAGTTTAACGATCCTAGCTTTTAAAAGAAACTATTTAATGTAAGATATTCTACGGTGTCACTCAGATATTATGTATATCTTCTATGGCCTTTATTTTGTACTTTTAATGTACATATTTCCGTCTTGTGTGATTTGTATATTTCACTGGTTTAAAAAAAAAACAAACAAACATTGAAAGGCTTATGCCAATGGAAGATAGAATAAATAAAATATTACTTGTATATTGGTAAGTGGTTTCAGTTGTCCTTCAGATAATTCATGAGGAGGTTTTTGGAGAAGGGCATGAGGGATAGCTTAGGATGACTACATGTTAAAATAACGGAAGAGGAGAGAGGGTTTTTTTTTTTTTTTTTACCAAAACCAAACTATTTGGAAGCTTCAAAAGATTTCTATATGTAACAGAACAAAAGGGGAATTCTCTTTTCCTATATGTGTTCCTCAAAAAAAAAAAAAAAAAAAAAAAAAGCAAGCAGATGGCTTAAAGCTGGTTATAGGATTGCTCACATTCTTTTAGCATGATGCATATAACTTAATTGTTTTAGAGCGTGTTGCTGTTGTAACATCCCAGAGAAGAACCAAAAAGGCACATGCTTTTATCCATGACCAGTTTTTTAGTAAAAAAAAAAAAAAAAGATAGCTTTATGTTTACCACTGCAACTATTGCACCTTTATGTTAGAGCGTGAGGTGGAGCAGGTGTGATATCTCTATGCCCCTTTGAAAACAGTTTTTATGAAAAGAAAGCCTCAGTCTGCAATTAGAACACGTTTTTGTGCTTTATGGAAATTACACCTAATTCTGGCCAGTCCCGCACAGATTGATACTTAGCCCTTTGCATCTTTTTGTTCTTTTTTTCTTTCTTTCTGGATAACCTTGTAACATATTGAAACCTTTTATGGACGCCAAGAATACATTACTCCACAAAAAAACAGTAGGCCAACATATAGAGTGTTTAAAATAGCATTTCTGGGCAAATTCAAACGCTTGTGGTTCTAGGACTCACATCTGTTTCAGTTTTTCCTCAGTTGTATATTGACCAGTGTTCTTTATTGCAAAAACATATACTGGATGTAGCAGCGTCAGCATATTTTTTTTCCTTCTCATCCTGGAGAGCATTCAAGATCTTCCCAATACAGGAAAATTAACAAAAAATTTATATACAGGCAGCAGCAAACAGGGCCGTGTTCAAAATGATCATTATGGCCTTAAGTAAAAGCAAGATTTTTGTGTCTTAGTCCAGCGTCTCTGTTCAGTTTTTTTGAGGTGCTGGCCTCCTGAGGTCAGTAGCCTCTCCAAAATCTTTCTCAGATGATTTTGCCAATACCAGTTTTCAATTTGTGTTTACAAAACATTATTCAAACCACTGGTGTCCCCAGATATGACGTGATAGAAGGACACTGAGTTCTCCAGAAAAGACTGGTAGTAGCTGACTCCTGTAGATCATTAGCAAAACCAGTCCCCAAAGATGGAGTGGCCCATAATATAAATATACAGAGAGATAGATAGAAAAGTTGCTTATAACTTGAAACATATATTTAATAGAAATAAGCACCAAGGCACCGAACTAAATAGTGCATTATTGCTGTAAAAAGTATACTTTAAAATATTTATTTTTTTAAAATAAGTGTTTTCTAGTCTCCTCTCTATGGAATGGTAAACACAAGATGCTGTGTTTTGAACGATAATGAAATAAATTGTTTATTTAGGAAACAGAGACATAGGAATGAAAACTTAGACGTCTTCAAACTTACCTGTTGACACAAATTTTTACACTTCAATCAGATGACTGGATAATGTTTTATTTTAGAAAAACATCAGCAAAAAATTGATGTTGAGAAATTAAAGGTTGGGTTGAGTTTTTTTTTTAATGTATCAATTTGAATCTAGAAGATTGAATTAAAATGCTGTCTTAGGATTTCCAAAGCAAAAGGAATGAAGAAAAATTGCATCTGAGACCATTTTTATATACAGTGTACCATTTGCTGGGTTAGAAATGAGATAAAGATTATTTATTTTTGTTCATATCTTGTACTTTTCTATTAAAATCATTTTATGAAATCCAGCGTAGTCACGTGTGTGTGTTTAGCTGACAGAGGTGCCCATTGAAGTTTGATGGGGGCCCCGGGTTATGGCTTAGGGCGTCTAGAACAAAACACTACCATTTCAGGCATGTACACAATATTATGTTTGAATCTCAAGGTTTCATTTTGTACTTTAATACTCTTATTTTCTTTTCCTGTTGCTAATTTTTCTATTTCTTGTTTGCTCTGTGGCTGCTGCTAATATGTACACGTTGTAGTGGGAGGTTATTCTTCAATGTAGTCTTTTAGCACAGAGAGATGGGTTTTGCCATGCAATGCTAAGGCAAGAAAAGAAAGATAGAAGGATTTGAGGAAAGAAAGAAAACTGTGTGAGATATTTTGCTTGTTGTCTCTTTCATGTTGCAATGGTTGCCAGTGAGGGTCTTAGAGCAGAGTTCCTTAGGCTTGGCACTATTAACATATTAGGCCAGATCATTCTTTGTTGCGGGCACTTGTCCCATGCAGTGTTTAGCAGTGTGCTTGACCTCTCTACCCACTAGATGCTAATGACATCGTTCCATCTGAGAAAACCAAAAATGTCTCCAGACATTGCCAAATGTGCCCTGGGTAGCAAAATCACCCCACTTGAAAAAACAAAACAA